AAATGGAAATGATCAGTGGGGAGCAACTAGAGAGATGGTTTGACAAGCAAGACTACGGAATCATGGGGCAAGTATATATCAATGCAGAGACAGATTCAACAGAAACACCAGAAGAACTCAAGCCAATTTTAACTGACTTCAAAGATGCGTTTGCAGAACCTAAGGGGCTACCTCCAATCAGAAGCCATGATCATCATATAAACCTAAAAGAAGGGGCTCAGCCCTTCAAACTCAGGCCATACAAATGTCTCTTTATCCAAAAAATTGAGGTGGAAAGATTGGTTAAAGAGATGTTAGAGTCAGGAAGTATTCAACCTAGTAACAGCTCTTTTGCTTCTCCTCCGCTGCTGGTAAAGAAAAAGGATGAAACCTGGAGGTTTTGTGTTAACTACAGGCAGTTTAATAACCTAATTGTGAAGGATAAATACCCTATACCCTTGATTGATGAACTCTATGGAGCTAAATATTTTTCTAAGATTGATCATAGAGCGGGATACCATCAGATAAGGGTTAGGCCAGAAGATGTTTATAAGACATCTTTCAAAACTCATCAACAACTATATGAATTTAAGGTCATGCCTTTTGGGTTGACCAATGCTCCTGCCACCTTCCAATGTCTGATGAATGAGGTATTTAAAGAGCAGTTGAGAAGATATGTGCTAGTTTTTTTTGATGATATAATAATATATAGTGTGGATATGCCCAGTCATTGTGAACATCTAAGGATTTACTGCAGTTACTCAGGAAATATGAGTTGTATGCCAAGTTAAGTGAATGTGTACTTTTGGGAAAAAGAAGGTGGAATACCTCGGCCATGTGATTGATCAGCAAGGGGTATTAGTAGATCCTAAGAAAGTAGAGGCAATGCAGTCTTGGCCTGTGCCAACTAATATCAAACAACTAAGGGGATTTCTGGGCTTGATTGGCTACTATAGAAAATTCGTGAAAGGCTATGGGACATTAGCCAAGCCTCTCACTGATTTGCTAAAGAAAGATAATTTTCTATGGTCAGATACAGTAGAGGCAGCCTTTAATAATCTTAAGCTAGCCATGAGTTCCACTCCAGTGCTAACCTCACCCAACTTTGAGCAACCTTTTATTGTGGAAATAGATTCTTGTTATGAAAGCATTGGGGCAATATTAATGCAGGATAGGAAACCTTTGGCTTACATTGGTAAAGCTATTGGACTAAGGAGCTTGGGAATGTCAATATATGAGAAAGAACTCTTGGCCTTAGTTATTGTAGTGGTGAAATGGAGACATTACTTGGAAGGTCACCACTTCATCATCAAAACCAACCATCAATCCTTAAAGTTCTTACTTGAACAGAGGATAACTACTCCATTACAGCAAAAGTGGCTAACTAAATTGATGGGTTTAGATTATCAAATCCAGTACAAAAAAGGGATTGAGAATGTGGTAGCGGATGCGCTCTCTAGGAGGATAGAAAATGATGGGAAGTGTGCTGCCATTACCCAGTTAATACCAGCGTGGATACATGAGGTGATTTCTTGTTATGAGGGAGATGTTTTTGCTGAAAAGAAGATCCAAGCCTTGCTTTTGGATCTAGTTGCAGAACCTGAATATCAGTATAAAAATATGTTGATTAAGTACAAAAATAAGTTGTATATTGGCAGTGGGAAAAATATCAGGAAAAATTTGATTCAAGCTATACATGACTCCCAAATAGGGGGCATTCTGGAATACAGTCCAACATATTTAGAGTTAAACAACACTTTTACTGGGCAGGCATGGCGCAAGAAATCAAAAGGGAGGTGTTACAATGTGAAATTTGCCAGAAATGTAAGGACGAACGCTTACCATATCCAAGCTTGCTACAGCCTCTGCCTGAACCTCAACATTCGCGGAGTCATATATCCATGGACTTCATTGGGGGCTGCCAAAATTTGAGGGAAAGGATGTCATCTTAGTGGTTGTACACAAATTTACCAAGTATGGCCACTTTCTCAATCTTTCTCATCCTTTTACAGCAAAGAAGGTGGCACAAATATTCCTGGATCATATTTAT